GCTGTAGCCCATCATCCTCAAGGTTCTAAGTGTTGTGCGTTCAGAGATGCTCTTCTGAATACCTCGGATGTACCGAGTGGTTATTTGAGTTACTCACTAGATATATTCTCTTTTTCGGACCATTCTCTATAAACCCTAGAGATTGTTGTGCATTAAAATCTAAGTACATCAGCAGTTTCTGAAATGCTCAGACCAGCCTGTCTGGCACGACAACCAATCAACCAATCGCCTTTCTACCTCATTTTGATGCTCTGTTTGAACTGCAGCAGGTTGTCTTGACTATGTCTAAATGCATTAAGTTGCAGCCATGTTATTGGCTGATTACAAATTTGCATATACGAGCAATTAGACAGGTGTACCTAATAAAATGGAGCGTGAGTGTATATATTTTAAAGAAAACTCAAATCCAATAGTAGCTCAACTATTGACTTCCATAGAAGGTAAAACAAGTAAATTATGACAGAGTTTTCATTTTTGGGTGAACTATCCCTTTCAGGTCCAGTTTTTTTCATGTTAATAAATTAAATGTGATCTATAAATGCAAAAATACTCATGCATCACATATTAGCTTAAAGCCCTAACTTATATATGATCAAGGCTAATATTCAATCCATGCTTTTATCAAGATGTCAAGTAGGCTAAACCTGAATGATGTGAAAAATATTTTGTTTTGCAAAATGTTTAAATACAATTGCAGTACAACAACATCTGTTTAGACTCAACAGGGAAAGTCATTAAAAGGCTTGTGTATTTACTCAACAACATTTTTATTTGTGAAACGCTCTTTTATACTATATGAGCAGCAGCTGTTATCATGAATACCAACCATTTTTTACAGTTTTTGATTTTAACTCTTTCTTTCTCTCTCTCTCTCTCTCTCTCTCTCTCTCTCTCTCTCTGAATTTTGAGAATGTAAACTATCTCACTGTAAGTCACCATAAAATAGTTTTTCCACATAAGAATGATTTGTTAATTTGAGTATTGTTAGCACTACACAAGATTTTGCTGTTTAAGTCAATGTGAATCTAAACAACATGATTAAACACGGCTCGTGTTTGGCAGAGCTAGGCAACAGAAAATAAAATCCCACCATACAAGGCCAAATTCCACAAGACACAATAGCATAAGCCGCTTAAAGGGAATGCTGTTGCTTGTAAATCTGGCACATTTGTTTTTCCAAAAGAAAGATTTTTGCCACGCTCTGGAAAAGTGTTGGAAACAGTGTTCTCCTGTTTCTGCAGTGAAAGGGGGGCAGCGAACAAATTCAATAGCAGACTCAGTCACTTGCTTGAAATGATAAATAAATACACGTAATTTCAGTCAAATATTTTCGAGTTGTTTTTGAACAGATGTCAAGGACTCCTGGCTCACAAAATGTTCCCGACCTCCTGAAAAGTTTGCTTTTTCCGCTGTGTGGCAGAAATAGTTCAGACGTCTCAGTCAGTTGACACTGTTGCAAAACAGGGGAAATAACCGGAGGTTTACATCCACCTGCTAGCGTGAGTCACCGGATTCAGCCGCCAATCTCACAGATTAAAGTAATTTAATTTTACAGCAGGAAAGACAACACTAATAAGGATCGTTTCAAAATAATTTGTTTTGATCAAAACATAGCTAATGATTATGCCTGCTAAGAAAATGAACAATGGTTACTTATAGCTAAACGTTTAGTAACCACTTTTTGCTAGTATATATTCAAAACTTAGGTGGTTATGGTAACAAAATGATTAATTAATGCTTAACTTGATTTAACTTAAAAGAACACACAAGAAAAATAGAGTTTTTGATGAAACTTTTTTGTAGAATTCATCATTAGGCCAGTAGGTGGCGACAGGTGATTGTTTTTTTGATTCATTTAGTTCGGGAAAAAGGGCACAATAGTGAGTAAATTCATTAGGGAGTATTGCTTTTTCCTATTCCTCTTTTATCTTCATATGGCAGAGATAGCTAAATTAATCATTCCCTGAAGCATTCATTTATAAATAAGGATTTAGGAGCTCAACAAATGAGAAAGTGAATAATTTACATAAGGAATTTGGTCAAAATGCTTATTCATTCAGTCATTCACTAACTTTTTGGCCTAGTCCCTTTATTTATTAGGGGTAGCCACAGGAAAATGAACCGCCAACTTATCCAGCATATGTTTTATGCAGTTGATTTCCTTCCAGCCGCAACCCAACACTGGGAAAGACCCATACACTCTAACATTCACACACATACAGTACGACCAATTTTAGCTTATTCAATTCACCTATACTGCATGTCTTTGGACTGTGGGGGAAACTGGAGCACCCGATAGAAACCCACACATGCACGGGGAGAACATGCAAATGCCTCACAAAAATGCCAACTGACTTATCTGAGGCTTAAACCAGTGACCTGTTTTCTGTAAGGTGATTGTGCTACCCACTGCACTTACCTTTGTGCTACCCATACAATTAGCCTTGAACAGAGAGTATTTTAACGTTACTGGAAGACGACATTAAAGTTGTTGATTTGCTATATGCAAAATGGTAATACAAGTTCAAGACACATTTCTTGTGTAAAACAATGTGGCCCATTAGAACCAAGTTCCAATATTCGGTCATCTACTCCTAGCACTGAAATCCTTATAAACAAAACATTGAAAAAAGACAATAACTGCACTGCTCTGGATTTTAAATTATATTTACTTGTGAAGTTATACAAACAGTCTAGCCTTTTTTTTTTTGATGCACCATGATTAATGATTAAAACACAGACTGCTTTTAATGGGATATGAACTGAGAAATAAAAATGTCCTTGATCTTTTGACATATACAAGGTAATTGCGCTATAAACGCATCCTGTAAGTTTCAGAACTCAAATCTTTCTCTTTAGTCAATGAAGTCAATGATGATTTTAGTGAAGCCAGTCTGCTAAATTAGCAGGCTGTGTATTGAGTCAATATGAAATACAGTATGTCTCCACAGAAGTAAATCACTGCATGTTTAGCTTCACTGCTGATTACACTGCAGTAGGTATATAACGAGAGGTGAAACCAAAATTAAAAATGCTTTAAAGACAACAAAATACTGTGGGAGAAAACACAGATTTTGTATTGACCACTATAAAGTTAGAATGATTCAAGTTGTCTTAGTAAAAACTTTGCCCTTGTTCATTTAATTTTACTGCATTTTCATTTACAAACTACACAAAATCCAGTACAGCTATTGCTTTGTCTATCAGTACAGATAATTAAAATATACTGAATATTTATTTTTAACCTAAATTACAGCAGTAACAGCAACTATCTATGAAGTATAGGCTGTCAAACATGCAGAGTTTACATGCAGGTGGGCATACAGCTGTAATGGTGGGCGTACAGCTGCACAAAACGTAATTATTCAAGCCATAAGCCAGTCATATCAGTGGGTATTTGCTTCAGTGTCTATAATCCACTTATTGAAACAGTTTTTTTTCCTATGAGCAGGACAAATAGGACAGAATCAACTCAATTTGGGTGAAATATGGGTAAACGTTGGGGATGTTTTGTAGGGCCATTTAAAAATTTTTACCAAGGTGACAGCCGGATCTGATGACAGTGCCTTCTGTATTGCCACCATCAGGCCGATTAATGGGCGTCAATCGGGGTGTATGCTACATTTAATATCTCTTGTTCAAATACATAATGAACAGCAGCTACGCTATAATTACTTTTTTGTTCTCTATTTGCACTTTGGGATGCCCATCCCAAGGCCTCTAGTGATTGTCCAACGCCTCTTGATGAAATCCAAGACCTGTGAAGAGATGATGCCAACCATTTCTAACTTCAAGGACAACAAATGCACCTAATACACAAATAGATGTTAATATAAATAATTGTTATTTTAAGTTCATTGAACATAACATTTTAATTTCTTTAAATGATTCACCATGTTTCTGTTTAAAATGATTGATTGTGCTTGAAATTTTGCCTTGACAACCACGCTGATGGTGGTCATTTTGCTTGTGATGCTCAATTTTGCTGAAGCGCAGCAGGACAGAGTCACTACCTAAACCCATCTGATGAAAGGTTGAGCGATGGGCTAACGACCCACCTCGAAAAAAATTAGATGTCACGAAACACCATAGTGTGGCTTAATATCAACTTTGATATAAACGCCCCTGGGAGTAAGTAAGTAAAGAATATAAAAGCTGAAAAATTTTGAAGTTTAATCTATTAGCCTTTTTAACATTAAACATTTAGGGTATCTGTAATTAAACATTTAAGTTAATTCAATAAAGAGACCGCATTTGGTCAACTCAATTAATTGAGTTGTCGATTATTATTCAAACTGAGGGAAACACTTTCCTCAAATTATTTAAGTAGTCTCAATTATTAGGGTATACAGTAACTAATAAAGGTAATTAATCACTTAAAAATGTTATTTATTTATTGTAATATAATAATGTGCACCTTTTGTAAAGCTGCTTTGAAACAATAACTATTGTGAAAAGCGCTACAAATACACTTAATTTGAATTGAATTGAACTACCATCTGGCAAAGTGTCAAGATCAGTTTTAGGGCAGAAAAGTGACCTTTGGACTTTTCTAAAATTTACAACAGGGCTAAAGCACAATGCTTAGGAAATTAACCTATGTCTTTGTCCATATTTTACCCAAAATTGCATTGAAATAACCCATCGAACATTTTTTTCTTTTTTTTTGAACACCATGAGTGTACCTGAGAAAAAAGGTAACAAGCTTTTAAAGCGGCTAATGAATCCTGTAAATGACAATAGCAAACACATTACTAACCTTACAAGGATACTTTACCTAAAAACCACATTTGATTGAAATGTTCTTTTGGTGTCATTGTGAGTCAAATAGTTTTTTTTTTAATTACCCTTTAATTGGCCTGCATAAACATCAGCTACTGTGTGTGACTGTCAGCTCTAAACCTAAAGGCTGACGTGATTTTTTTCCTCTTTCTTTTTCGTTTTTCTCTCTCTTTCTTTTCCCCTCTGCCCACCTCCTTTGAGAAGTTGCCTCGCTCCTCCTACCTGCCCATATAAGTGGAAAGCATGAAGCCCCGAACCAAATTTCTGCTTCTGTCTTCTGGATCTTCTTCCTTCACTTCTCACTCAGAGAGAGAGAAAAGCAGAGGCAGAGACAGAGAGAGAGAGAGAGAGAGAGGTGAGTGCTGTATGTGTATAATGTGTGCTGAACAGGAAATAAAATTGATAAACGAATTGATGTTGATCTGAATGGGAGTGTGCAACATATTTGTGATTTATTATGTCATTATGTCCTTATGTATTGTTATTTTGGGGTAATTTTGGTAGGTAAATTATTTCGCCAACATTTAAAGATCTGTCTTTATTGTGAAGTTTTTTTTAAATATGTATATATGATTTTATATGATTTTCAGCCCTAAAATAGTATTGCATTTAATTTAAACAAAAAGTGAATATACCAGATAGTAAATATTTTAATGTTGCTCAGATATTTCAGAATTATATTAATATTATGATCTTGTTGCATTTGTTTGGCCAATTTTAGAAAACATTTCAAGAACTGTAATGATTTGCTTTCATATTACATTTTTCACCTATATTTCTTGAATTCACTACTGATTTATTAACATACAAAACTTGGTCCTAAATTTATACTTAACAAATATACTAAACAAATATATTTTTTTCTTGGCAAGCAGTTTTTGGAAAATTAGTATTACATTTTGTAAATTATCTTAAAACTATAACAAAATTAGGTTGTGTAATAAAATATGAAAACATTTTATGGTGAATTTTTTTCAGAGCGCAAAAAGTGGTAAATTAATGTTACATGCATTTTTTATTCATACACCCTAACACTGTGTATAAAAGATGAGTAATTTCTGTAGCATTTTTTTACAATTTTATATAGCTCCTAAATTATTCAATTTAGTAGCATTTGGGGTATTTGAACAATTATTGGTCCTAACTTTAAGAAATATACTCAACAAAAATATTATCTGTTTTTTTGACGCTATAATGTTAGGAAATGTTTGTCTAATGCCCTGAAATTGTAAGAAAATTGTAAGGTACACAATGTAATAATATATAAAATATTCAGAAAATATTAAGACATTTTATGCATATTGGACAAATTATGAATTTCCACTATATTTGGTAAGTTACTGTTAATTATATTACATGTTATTTTAATATATAATACTGTGATTTACAAATATTAACATATATAAAATATTTAATCAAATTTATAATTTGTCATTCAAAAGAGATGAAAACCATATAATCTACTGTTTAGACATTTTATTTAATTCAGATATATTAGTGCCCTTTTTAATTTTTTTGTCTCTTTTTCCAAATGATGTTTATCAGAGCAAGGAAATGTTTACAGTATTTTCAATAATATTATTTCTTCTATATAAAGTTTTATTTGTTTTATTTCGGCTAGGATAAAAGCAGTTGAATTTTTTTAAGTCATTTTAAGGTCAATATTACTATTAGCCCCTTAAGCTATATATATATATATATATATATATATATATATATATATATATATATATTTTCCAATTGTTTACAGAGCAAACTATTGATATACAATGACTTGCATAATCACCCTAACCTGCCTACAGTAATTAGCCCAATTAAACGAGTTAAGCTTTTAAATTGTCCTTTAAGCTGAATACTAGGTGTCCTGAAAAATATCTGGTCAAATATTATGTATTGTCATAATGGCAAAGATAAAAGAAATTGTTATTAAAATTACTAAAATATGTTTCATACTTATTTAATTATTAAAAATATGTTTAGAAATGTGTTGAAAAAATCTTCCTACAATTAAACAGAAATTGGGGAAAAAATAAACAGGGGGGCTAATAATTCTAATTTCAGCTGTTCAGTGTGTAACATTTTATACTAATGTGGATTAGTAACAAGCTCAAGCGGGTGTTCAATCCTTTAAACAAATTTTGATTTGATTTTGGATTGAATATAAAGTCGTGCAGCAGATTCAATCTAGTTCATATCCTGCTTCATGCTGCACCTGCTGTTGTGTAAGAGTCTTTCTCCAGCTCTGCTCAAGGGCTTTGTATATTTCTAGAGCCACATTCACTTTACTTTCACTTTGATTTTCCTGGCACCGGGCAAAATTCTGAGCCCTGCCATTTTTTCCTGCTTCCTACAGCGATCAGTGCTGGATGTTCAGAAGAATAATTCCTGTGGGCACAAGACCAGGCAGAGCTCTTTTTCCTTCCTTTTCCCTTCATCTGTTTCTCTAGTCCAGTTTTATTGAAAAAATAAAAATAAAAAATTTCCCCACTCTGGGCCAGACACTGATCGCTAGAGTGATTAAACTGTCAATTTAATTTGATCGGGGTGTATCCAGCATGTATGTCTGGATTTAGAAGATGTTTCTTGGTGTAGAAGCTGTGTTTGTAATAAGAATTGCCATATTGATAGATGGTTTGTCAGTGACTAGTGCTTTTAACTCTCCTGTCGTGTTCACATCCTGCCCCCTACTTAAGTGTTCCCGGTCAAAATTGACCGATCTGTTTTAACTGTTCTTATATTAGCACAAAAATAATTTTCCTCCACAAATTTTTTATTCAACATTCTTACCTGTGAACAATGTCTCAAAGTAGTGTTTAACATGAATTTACAGAATTAGACAAAATAACTGCAACGAAAATAAAAATAGGCGCTGAAAATATATTACAAAATGAACAACAAATGACAAAAGTCTAAATATATTGTTTCATTAATAATAGACAGCACGCTAAAATAACTTTCACAGGGCCTGACCAAAGAAATTAAAATTTTAATTCATCTGAATGATTTATCAACCAGCAAAGCACAAACAAAATGCTATCCTTTCACGTGTTCTGAGTGATCAAATTTTCAGTCCTTCAAGTGTACTAATATAGGGAATAGTGTCTGAGGGTATATACGGTGAGCATGGAAACAGAACTAGCACTAGTTATACTTTGGTCATTTTTGAGTGAGATGATAACGGTCTAATATAATTCAATAACTGTTGCTAAGCTAAGCCAAAAGTGCTCCTGCTAAGAAAGAAAGAAAGAAAGAAAGAAAGAAAGAAAGAAAGAAAGAAAGAAAGAAAGAAAGAAAGAAAGAAAGAAAGAAAGAAAGAAAGAAACAGGTAGAGTCACATAACAGACACCTAGACTGTGAAGATATGATACACTGTTTTATCAGGAAGTTGATTCACGTTGGAGGATTCAACACTTTCATGGCAATTCATAACTTATTGGTTTAGTAGCTAATCCATATGAATTTTTATGATCTCATTCATACAGTTTTGCACAATTTGCTTATCTCTAATGATGATTGGGTTTAGGGGTGAGTTTGGGTGCCACGCCTCCTTTTAAAAATCATACAATTTTGTACGCCCGAACTCGTATAAATTAGCCACTAAACTGACAAAACATAAAATAGTTTCCTAAAATGTTTAATTGTGACATCAGGCTGGAGGATCAGCACATAAGCGCGTAAAAGAGATGTGTACTTGCTAAAGCCATTGTTCAGTCGGAAATGAGTGAGTGAGTGATCCACAGGTGTAACAAAGTTGATTAAAACACTCAAAATTCAATGAAAGAGATTATCATTACTTTTATATGTTCAGATGCATAGTGTGGAGGATATCATAAGGCATTGAGGCAATCAGATGTAAATCACAATATGTATGAGTGATTTAAGTTGTAAATCGGTCAGATTTGACTTGTCCCTGCCCTGCTGGAGGATGAACCGTCGCCCCAGCCTGAGGTCAAGAGCACTCTGAAGCAGGTTTTTATTCAGGATGTCTCTGTACATTTCTGCATTCATCTTTCCCTCTATCCTGACTAGTCTTCCAGTTCCTGCTGCTGAAAAACATCCCCACAGCATGATGCTGCCACCACCATGCTTCACTGTGCCTGATTTTCTCTAAACGTAATGCCTGACATTCACTCCAAAGAGTTTAATTTTAGTCTCATCAGACCAGAGAATTTTGTTCCTTATGGTCTGAGAGTCCTTCAGATGCCTTTTGTCAAATTCCTGGCAGGGTGTGGCTTCCGTCTGGCCACTCTATCATACAGGTCTGATTGGTGGATTGCTGCACAGATGGTTGTCCTTCTGATATTGCTCCTCTCTCAACAGAAGAATGCTGGAGTTTAGACAGAAAGACAATCGACTTATTGTTCACCTCCCTGACTAATACCCTTCACCCCGATCACTCAGCTTAGATGGCCGGACAGCTTTAGGAAAAGTCCTTGTGGTTCCAAACATCTTCAACTTACGGTTGATGGAGGCCACTGTGCTCATTGAAACTTTCAGAGCTGCAGATTTTTTTCTGTAACCTTCCACATCCTTGTGCCTTAAGAAAATCCTGTTTCGGAAGTCTTCAGACAGTTTCTTTGTCTTACAGCTTGGTTTGTGCTTTGACATGCACTACCAACCCTGGGACCTTATATAGACAGGTGTATTCCTTTTCAAATCATGTCCAATCAAATGCATTTCCCACAAGTGAACTCTAATGAAACTGCTGAAACATCTCAAGAATGATCAGTGAAAACAGAATGTACCTGAGCTCAATTTAGGCCTTTACAGCAAAAGCTGTGAATACTTATGTACATGTGATTCTTCAGGTTTTTTATTTTTTAATAGGTTTGCTACAATTTCAAAAATATTTTTTCACATTGTCATTATGGGGTATTGTGTTGAATTTTGAGGAAATAAATGAATTTAATCCATTACACAATAAACCTTGTTTAATTGAATATTTTTTTAATTTTTATAATTGAAGTACCATTATTTAAACTGTTCTCAATGTGTCTAACACAACGTAAGAACAGTTCAAACTGATCCAGATCGATCCAGAGAGCGAATCATTAGACCTCATTGTCAATTTATTATTATTTAGTTAGCTACAGAACATCTTTTGTCTCATTATAAACCTGGTATCCCTGCTGTCTCTTTTTCGTCCATTATTTGTAACTTTTCTTTGATTTTCTTTCATTAACCAGTCGCAGATGAAGCCATGACCTGTGAATGCACCTCCTTCAGTTTCCCCCGGCTATTAACAGATTGATGCTTTATAACTATGTTTCTGATCTGAATGAAAGCCGTGCTCTCTTACACAAATAGGAAACAAAAGAAATAAAAGGGAAAGTAGGCCTTGCCTGAGACTTTGAA